GCCACCTCCATTACTTGCCGCCATGACCCACCGCCAGCCGTTGTGAAAAAGGCGAAAAACATCAAAAGTTGGCTCATGAGGCGACATAACAATTCAGCAAGTGATGACAATGGGGCGGGGCATGAGTATCCACGTTACTACGGGTCAGGGCGGGTCTGCCCGCTTTTACATATTATTTGAAAAAAATACTCGTAAAATTTTGCTTTTATGATAAAACGAATGGGAAACACATTATGAATGAAAATAGTGATAATAGAATGGATAATTGAATCTAACTAGTTGAAAGATCAAATCTAAGTAGTTGAATAAAAGTCAAAATAGAAGAAATATGAATAGATACTATACGAAATTGAGATAGAATGTGCCAAAAATGGGGCGTGGCGGGACATGACGGGTCGGAAGTGGATACATATGCCCCACCCCAAACTACTGTCAATCAGATACTACCCGCCCCATCGCAGGTCAGATCGGGTAATACTCGACAGGGCGGGTTCAAATTGTCATCCCTAATATTCAGCACACTATGATTATCACCTAACAGACTAGCATACAATACATATACTTATTGTCACAATTATAATTATTAGGAACATGACAATGTTATTGGAGGACAATGAGGACAGAAGGAAAAATAAGGATCGATCCCAATTATAATTATTAGGACCATGATGACACTGCTGGAGGACCATAGGAAGCCAGGACTAAGGAACATGTTTGAGTGTTTTCGGTGGGGGGTGGAGGGTCATTTAGATTGTAAGTGGTCGGTTAGAGAGGTCATTTGGCATGTGGGTGGTCCCCCCGACAGATGGTCTTTAGCCACTCTCGTCAATGAAGATGGAGAAAGACTAAGAATTTTAGCCATTCTCATCTACGAAGATGAAGAAAGATTAAGGATTTTAGGGTTTCTTATATGGTTGATTCTTTTGATTAATGGAGGGAAATTTTGTAATTGCACTTTGTACATCAGGGCGAGAATAGTAAAATTAGGGCGATATTTAGTAATCCAGTAAAAAATCCCCGCGATCAATTTTCTACCTCCGCCACTATTTGTACCATAACTTATTTTTTTACTTGCAAAGGTTGAATTTTTTATTTATATTTTATTGGTCTTACCTACTGATGGCAAATGGGTGGCTTGTGCGGGTCGGGGTGGGTAATACTCGCGGGTCAGTGGTAGTGCGAGTAGACTAATAGTTACATGTTATTTGGAAAAAAATATAGCAAAATTCATCTGTGTAGTCAAAAATTTGATGTTTGTGACCATAATAGCCACTTTTGGGGAAATAAAAATAATAGCAAAAAATTTGAAAGTGTGATGACAATAATAGCCATTTCCGTTACATAGTTTAACAGCGTCAGTGACACCATTAGTCAAATTAACGAAATGATGATCTGGCTGGCAACTCACCTTCTCTTTCTTTTCCACCTCAACATTCACTAGCAGCTAGGCGACACATCATTTACAAAAGTAAAAAAAATTGGTCAAAATATTCCAGGTGGAAATGTGTTATCGTTTTTTTATTATTAATTACATAAATAAACAAACAAAAAAAGGAGATGACCTCTGCGTCTCTTAATCCCCCTCTTCATCTTCATCTTCTCTTATCCAACTCCCTGCCCCTATTCTTTCGAGAATCAAATCCAGTATCTCCCATCGACCGATGAACCAAGCGACCGGCGAACCCTGCTTCTCCATATTTTATATGTCTTCTCACTTCTCTGGTTCTTGTTCTCCGACGAACGAAACCCAGCCACAGACAAGGCTGAAAACGACCATCCAGAGCTTTTACCTTCAATATCCTGCCACTTCTGTTCTCAAGTCCTGAGAAAAATGGGGAAATCAAAATAGGGAGCGAAAGAGAAGAAGAAACCGTCGCTAATGTCGGTGAAATTCCCCATCGCTCACTTTGTAGATCTATGCGCAATCTTCACATAGGTGCCCCCACCTCCGTTGTTCCGCGCCATCCACGGCTGCCGCAGCTTCGCGCCGTCCCTACATGAAATGTCACCTCCGACGAACCACCTTCCTCTTCAGCCTTCCGCCGCCGCCGTTGGTCGCTTCCCCACCATCGCCCCTGTTGATGTGACTTGAATCAGACTATCAGCCGCTACGACTGGTAGTATGGGCTCAATGTTATTTGGGTTCGGGTTCTGGGCCTGGTCTGTAACCGTTTCCTTTGCCAGATTGGATTAGGTTTAGACCCACATGGAGAAGTACTATAAATACTTCTCATACTCCTCTGTAATCTGTAATCTCCTTGATATAGTGAAACTGACTCTCTCTCGCCCTTGGACGTAGCTAACACACATCGTGTTAGTGAACCACGTAAATAGTGTGTCTGTGTTTTTCGATTCTCGCTTTCGTATTCTTGCTTTATCGATTCCGGCGATTTCCCGATCCATAGCAGCGCGTTTATAACAGCCCCTTCGTCCGTGTTGCCTCCGAGGAATCACCTTCCTCTTATGCCTCCCGTCATTGCCGCTAGCCGCTTCCACTTTCACAGATCTTGAACAGCCCCAGCCATTGGAAGCAAATCGACCTGGGTTTTCAATTTTGGGCTCCCAGGAGGTTTCTCGAACCCTCTTTGTTTCTCTTTGCTCTATCCACACCCTTCTCCTAGCTCTCCCCGAGCTCCGACGACGCCTTATCACACCGCAACTCTCAAATCCATCCGCCACTCCGTCCACCTTCTTTCTCCATTTGCCGCTCCCTTCATCTCCTTCATCTCACTCTTCCTTGGACAATTTCGTCGCCACCATTAAAATCCCCAACTCCAATCACCCTAATTTTCATCTACAATTTTAGTTTCCTCTTCAAATCTCCCCAATTTGTTGAGTGAGGGAGAGGCAAACGCGGGGTTTCCAGGTCCATTCCCAGGTAATTCGAGCGGTGGCGAGATTGTTGAATGAAAGGATCTGAAGAAATCGTGGAGCCAGTACCGATTTTGGAGTCAACGACAAATTAGCAATGAAGAGGGAGATCAATCCATTTTAGTTGATTGTTGGTTCTCAATAAAGAGATAATTGTTTTTATTGTTATTATAATTTTTTTATTTAATTTGATTAAAATAAAGGATAAAATTTTAATTATTTTCCACCAAATATTATTTTTGAATAAAATATGCAACCTCAACCTCTGTTGTTAGTCCAGTCAGCACGTTAACTAACACCGTCAGACAATTGTGCGGAAGTGGCTATTTTGGTATTTCGTCAAACATGGCTATATTTGGCCAAACCGTGAAAGTTTTGGCTACACAAGTGTATTTTGCCAAAAAAAATCGCAAATTTCTAGGTTTTATGATAAAACAAAGGAAAACACTATATGAGTGAAAAATAGTGATAATAAAATGGATAATTGGGTTTAACTAGTTGAAATATAAAATCCAACTAGTTGAAGAAAAATCCAAATAAGAGAAATATGGTATACATTGTATGAAGGTACGATAGAATGAGCCAAGAACATAGCATGGCGGAACAAGACAGGTCCGAAGTAAATAACCATGCTCTACTCCATACTAGTGCGAGTCGGATTATACCCATTCCATTGCAAATTAAGTCGGATAAGGTCTAACCGAGCGTGTTCAAATTACCATCAGTAATCATTCCTCTGAAATTGATAATTATTATTAGGCGATCGTATAACTCGCAATCGTTGAGTAAATAAAAAAAGGGTTAATACCTTATTTTGGCCCGAACTATGACCATATAATCAACTTTGGCCCGTGGTTTCAGAAATTAACATCCTGGCCTCAACTATGCAGCATATAGACTCAATTAGCCCGACACATAGTTTGACCGTCAATTTGGACGGTCAACTCCGTTGACCGTTAGTCAACACGCCATGTCATTGCCTAGTCAGCCTAAAAATCATTAAAAAAATGCAAATTTCAAATTATTTTTCTAATTTTTCTTATTTATTATCAAATTAACCAAAAATAAATTATAAAAAACATAAAATAAATTTGATTTTTATTTTTTGGATAATTTGAAAAATGATAAATTTGAAAAATTAAATAAAAATTATCAAATTATTTTATATTTTTAAAATTTCCCACAAAAATATAATTTATATCATAATTTTTAAATTTATAAAATTCATTTTGATAATTTTTGGTTAATTTATAAAATTTATCATTTTCAAATATCACAAAAAATTATTTTATATTTTTAGAATTTTATTTTTTGGTTAATTGAAAAATGATAAATAATAGAAATTAGGAAAATAATTTGAATTTAAATTTTTTTAATCATTTTTAGGCTGACTAGGCAATGATATGGCATGTTGACTAACGGTCAACGGAGTTGACCGTCCAAATTGACGGTCAAACTATGTGTCAGGCCAATTGAGTCTATATGCTGCATAGTTGAGGCCAGAATGTTAATTTCTGAAACCACGGGCCAAAGTTGATTATATAGTCATAGTTCGGGCCAAAATAAGGTATTAACCCATAAAAAAACTCGCAATCGTAATCTTATTTTCCGCGATTCCCTCGTGATCCATATTTTTCACAATCCTCGTTGCAACCAATCAAGCCGAGGCATCTCATCTCAGCCACTATCTCTCTCTCTCTGAGGCCGGCCCCGCGTTTGGCGCCTAATTTCGGTAATTCCAGATCCATCCAGCCACAATTTCTTCTTCCAAGTCAGTCTCTGGCTGACTAAAACTTTTTGGAATATTCATTCACCAGGATTAATATTGCATCAATGTACCGGGTCGGGTTACGGTTCCGTTATTCCCAAGTTAATTAATTGCGTATAACTCCGGAAACTTCCTTCTTTCTCTCTCCTCTCCTCTCAAAGTCTACCCACCAGCTCACTGAACCACCTAAATCCTCCACACGTGTCACGGCCGCTCAGATGTTCTTTCCTTATCCCGCGGGCCCATCCGGTTGGCTCAATCGCAGCCGTCCACGTCACCGGATTTCATCTTTCTCCTCCCACAATAATAAAATATATATTCAATTCTCTCTCTCTCTCTCTCTCTTCCCATCTCCTTCAATCAACGGACCAGACCGAGATTCCGACTTCGGTTCTCTCTCAGAGGGCTTTCCTCTTCCTTTCTCTCGGTAGACTAAAAAGCGAGATAGAGAGGGAGAGTGGGGAAAAAAACAACAGAAAAAAAGGAAAAAAAACGACGAACAAGGAAAACCCCGGGAGAAGCAAGCGCGAGAGAAAACCCTAGCGCGGTGGGGTTACGTTGATCGGAGATTCCTGCTCTGCTTTCATCCGGCTCCGCTCCTGGCGGTGGCTGTTCTCTATTAATGGTCGGTGAGGGCTGTCTGAGGAGGTGACTTTGCCCGATCGCCATGATTTCATTGCAGAACGGAATTCGAGCTTCGGCTCGCGATGAAGCAGCTAGCTTCCATGCCAAGCTGGAGCCATCCACTCCTTCAGCGAGTCTAGTGCCTTTCAAGCCCCGTGATGCTTCTCACCATGAAGGTTTAGCTTCTAGAAACGCTGAAATTTCATCCTCTATTGTTAATGTCTTTTTTCTTTTCTTTTCAATTTTACATTTTGAAAAATTTCCCTGTTTGCTGGCTGCCATGGTTGTGCTATTGGCGCATATGCAACTTGAATTTTGATCGCTGTTGGTTTCCCCACTATGATCATTTTGCTGAATATACCTTCGCTGCTGGGGCTATGTTAGGTTAGGTTTAGGGTTGGCTGCTGACTCTGATGAACTCGATTACATGGACCATTTCTTCTCCCTGGGTCGATCTCGATAGTTAGTGTACGATGTAAACAGGTTGTTTTAGATTGGAATTACTGCCAGTAAGTGGCATTCATTTTAGCACTTGGTTTTCTGTACTGCAAAATCTGCATGCGGCAGGTTTTGGGTTCAGTTTTGGCTTCCGGTGCATGCGGCAGGTTTTTGGTTCAGTTTTGACTTCGGGTAGGTGGTTCAGTTTAGATTCATTTCATCAGGGTCAGAGGAGTTCCATGAGAAGCACAAGGAACTGCTTCAAGAATCTATCTCTACTTATTTGGCTGTTCTCTGTAATTTGCCCTATGTCGTTGTTTATAAGTATCTGCTGTGTGGTGGTGCAAGTATAGCTACTAGTAGTAAGAATTGTGTCTTATGGCTTTTGTAATCCTTATCTGTATTTGTCTTATTTCATCTTCATAACCTAAGACTTATATCTTGATGTAGTTGATGAAGACACGCTCTTGGCGCTTGCTCATCAGATGTATAAGTCTGGAAGCTACAAACAGGCTCTAGAGAACAGCAGTGTCCTCTACGAGAGAAATCCCCTTCGCACTGACAATCTACTTCTATTGGGGGCTATTCATTATCAGGTTGGTTTAATGATTTTTGCATGCTGGACCAAGGCTTTAATGTAGAACATTTGCTCTTCTGCTGCTCCTTCTGATTCTATTACTTCCGTGACAGTTGCATGATTATGATATGTGCATTGCTAAAAATGAAGAAGCTCTTCGGCTCGAGCCTCGTTTTGCTGAGTGTTATGGAAATATGGCCAATGCCTGGAAGGTAATCAGAGTTATCTCAGCCTTTAATTTGCTGTTACGGACGCAAATGGATTCAAGTAAAAAAGATAAACTCATATAGGTGGCTTCTACAGTGCACTCACTACCATGAGGGGATGCTATACATTCTCATCTAAAAGGAGACTTCAATTATAAAATTTGAAAATTTTCTTGCTAGCATTTGTCTAGTATACTAATATAAATTATGATTACTTCGAAATGCATGCATATTTACTCATAAAATTCGATCTTATAGTCATTAGATGAATTATGGAGGTGTACCTGACCAATTTCAGAAATATCTGAAATGATACAAGTAATGTTTAGATGATTCTCGTACATTCATACATTTGTTTGTTCTTTATGATACAAACGAAGGTTGTGATCATTATCACGATATAAAATACACCCTCTAAAGTCTGTGTACGCCGGATAGACTCATATATGTTTGTTTTTGTTTTACAGAATCGGTATTTCTTGCTTATTGTTCATGGATCTTCTTTTTTCTTTGTTACAGGAGAAGGGAGATATAGATCTGGCAATTCGTTACTACTTGGTGGCCATTGAGGTTTGTGTACTTCAGTACCTAATCATGTCTGACTTCGGGCGGACAACTAGTTGCCTATGATTTTTTTTTGTTATAAACTTTGTTCCTTGTGGCGTCCTAATGCACTTTGGAATCAAACTCTAATTTCTTGTTAATTAATTGATTTGTGAACAATATCCCAGCATGCAACATCTAATCTACTTTCCCTTCTATTCAGCTCCGTCCAAGTTTTGCAGATGCTTGGTCTAATTTGGCTAGTGCATACATGCGGAAAGGGAGACTCAACGAGGCAGCTCAGTGCTGCCGTCAGGCACTTGCTCTGAATCCTCATCTGGTAATTATGTCGTGAATATGTTGTTATAGTTAGATATTGGAGTAGCTGTGGCTTTGAAATGACAAGGGACTTATGTTGCCCCCTTGCATTCTGATTCCTGAGTGATCAAGTGTAGCATAGTCTTGGGAAGGTAAATGTCTGACCTATAATGGGAACTTTTGTAGGTTGATGCTCACAGTAACCTTGGAAATTTAATGAAAGCACAAGGCCTGGTGCAAGAAGTAAGTGCTAATTGGTTTTCATTAAAATGATTGATTAGAAGAAGAGAATTTTTGCTAGCCAGTTTCCTAGAGCTCGAAATAGTTGAAGGTGCTACAAGATGGCTGAATGTTTAAGACATCGTGTTGATAGCTTATCTGGAATATGCTTGCCAATCTTTGTAGCCTAGGATAAACATACTAGTTGATTCACTGCACACTGAGAACATTTTGCTACTAGGATTTTTGGTGTCGGTTGTTGGACCTACCTTGTTATTAATCAATCTCTTTTATTGACGGAAGAAAGATATTCTTCCAAGTACTATGAGTGTTAATTGCTGTATTTATCTCATTTTCCACAAAGTTACTGATTTAACATTCATGTGTGAACTGCGCCTTAATTCACAGTTCAGTACAGATATCAAGTTGTTATGTACGGGCCAGGGATCAGATGATGGTTGATCTTGTTGTAACTTCCATGTGCAACACACCGAATTGTCAGAACTAACATTTTGTGCAGGCATACAGCTGTTATATTGAGGCTCTCCGCATACAACCAAGCTTTGCTATTGCATGGTCGAATCTTGCTGGTCTCTTTATGGAGTCTGGTGACCTGGCTAGAGCTCTTCAATACTATAAGGTGTCTTTGATTGTGCTCTTATTTTCCAGGAATATGTTGAGTTTGCAATAATTGGACGAGATGTTTTAATGTTTCCTAATTTCATGTAAATAAAATAGTAGTCAATGCGAATTTAGCTATGGTGCTCACAACACCATCTATGAGAACATGTTCACAGGATGCACAGTTGCGGATAGTGCCCTGGGCGCTCCGCGATCGTTGGACGGATGCAGTGGCAATTTTGTTTGCGCCCTGTGAATACGTTCTCATATATGGTGCTGTGTGCACCATAGCTAAGTGGTCAAGTAGGAAATTTCGGTGAATTTTTTCCCATTTCTATTTCTCATGTCTCTGTCAAGTGATCTTCCATGTCCTTCAAGATAGGGAACAAGTGGATTACTTTCTGCTTGTTTGGTCTTTTATTTTACCTTAGTTTGGAAAGCCTTGTGAGCACGGTATGCAATTGGATTTCGGTACATGTCGCTTGCTCTAATTTCGTTTGTCAATGGAAATGTTTCAGGAAGCTGTAAAGCTTAAGCCTTCATTTCCTGATGCGTACTTAAACCTGGGAAACGTGTACAAGGTAAGTTCTACTTTTGCTTGCTGGTCACATTACCTTCATTCTTCTTGGTGGTGTACCATCTTCGTGTATTGCATTTCAGGGTTTGGGTAGGCCTCAAGAAGCTATTGCATGCTACCAGCGTGCTATTCAAAGTAGGCCAAATTATTCTATAGCATACGGTGAGTCTCTATGCTGGCTGATACAGCCGAGTTATAAAAAAAAAAAGATGACCAATTGCTCTGAGGGATCCACTTTCCTGCTGAATTTCGTTTACTCCCTTCTAACCTGTGCACTGTTTCATGAATCAGATGTCAGTGAGTGTTTCTCCTGGTTTGGTTTGAGAAAACTATTTTGCTTGGTTGTGACTGTATGTGAATACCCACGAAAATGTATATACAAGTCGGTTCCTTGGCTTGTTTCCTTTCCCCCCCTTTTGTATTTAGGACTGTACTATCATTCTACCTTTGTTTGAAGGATTAGTTCTGCAACCCTGACTCTGGATTTGTCATAATGACTATTTTCCTTGGAATTACCTCCATGTTATTTAGTCTACTGTCCATGTCCTTCAACTTTAAGCAATCATTCATGACTTTCTGATCCTTCAGTGGATGTCATTCCTCCCAAATTTCACGTTATTGCACCCCTAGTCATTTAACCTTACGCCATCTAAGAGACCGGGGAAATGCACTGCCTAATATCTACTTCAATTACTTTTTTCTTACTGAATTTAATAACTTCAAATCCAGAACATTGACTGAGTTAACTATAACTGGCTAGACTTGTCTCTGCAATGGAAATTGTCAAATCACTTGATATGCTGTGGCGCAGGAAATTTAGCCAGTACGTATTACGAGCGAGGGCAGCTGGATTTGGCAATTCTTCATTATAAGCAAGCCATTAGTTTTGATCCCAGATTTTTGGAGGCTTATAATAATTTGGTTGGTATCATTTTGGCTTAATTTCTTTCATATATTGGTCACTTGTCACCTATGTGATTGTTTTATTATTATTCTCCATCTGAAAGGGTAATGCACTTAAAGATGTGGGTCGCGTGGATGAAGCAATTCAATGCTATAGTGTATGTTGCCATCTCTGATCTCTGTTTTCTCCCCATTCATATAATGCTTCTACTCTCAATTTCATTGCCTGTGTCTTAACTTGCACAATTTCCTTGGCCACTTGAAGCAATGCCTTTCATTACAACCCAGTCACCCACAAGCTCTTACGAACCTGGGGAACATATACATGGAATGGTAAGTGACCTTGGCAGGTATTTGGTTCCACCTAAACTAGATTTATGCTTCATGTGTTTACTGAAGTAATTTTGTTGCATGCAGGAACATGTCAGCCGCAGCTGCTTCATACTATAAAGCAACTCTTGCTGTAACCACTGGACTGTCTGCTCCTTTCAACAATCTTGCTGTTATCTATAAGCAACAGGTGCCGATATTTGATTTTAAGCACACATAGGATTGGATTATGTATTGCGGGCAATCCTGTGAATAAATTTTGAAAATGGGGTTTTGTAATATGGTTGAACTCCTGTGTATCTGTCATAGAAGTAAAGCCTTAATTTGTCCTTACATTAATTTTTGACTTCTACCCTGTACATCAATAGAAGTAAAATAACTACTGGACTCCTACTTCTACTGCCATGGTAAGAACGTCATAAATAGCAGAACTATCAATATTAATCATAGGCTTCTGATATTTCTGCTGCCTGCTTCCTTCTTCCTCCTATACGCTTTTTTGTGGATGCGAGCCACAGCTTTCTAGAGCTAGCTGGCGTTCAAAGTCTGCTGATGGCTAAGCATATTGGCAGATTCTTCTGCATCCTTAATGAATATGAGTAACATGTGATTCCTTTTTGGCTTGTTACAGGGGAATTACGCAGATGCTATATCGTGCTACAATGAGGTTCTTAGGATCGATCCTTCGGCAGCTGATGGTCTAGTGAACAGAGGTAATACGTACAAGGAAATTGGTAGGGTAACTGAAGCTATACAAGATTACATCCGTGCGATTACTGTCCGACCAACTATGGCTGAAGCACATGCAAACTTGGCCTCTGCTTACAAGGACAGGTGATTACTTGTTCATCGTTAGCGTTTTGAAGTTCTGGCTCCAGGGAAGCTTTCCGTCATATTATACAAAAATAGGAGATATATAAACAGGATTGGGAGGAGGGTTATGTGATAATATGCCCTTCATTTCTGTGCTTTATCAGCTTTCTCTTAGAATCAGTCGTAGATGCATATTTATGCCATGAATTGTCATTTGGGTTGTATTAAAGAGGTCCGGCCCATTTGCTGCATGGTTATTTTAGGATGAAGTGTAGGAGGTGGGTTAGAAGAGAAACCAGTCAGTCGAACACCTGCATGCAGTCTGCATGACAGTATCTTAAATGTTGTTGATTACCATATTTATATTATGACCTGTTTTGGCCTGATTTGTAGTGGTCATGTGGAGGCTGCTGTGAAGAGCTATAGACAGGCATTGCTTCTCCGACCTGAATTTCCTGAGGCAACTTGTAACCTTCTACACACGCTGCAGGTAAAGTTAATAGTAGAAAGAGCACTTTAGAGCTGGGCTGTTTTGCTTCTTTTGTTTTAGAACTGTTGGTCATATTGATAGGATCGACATATTTTGTAATTTTCTGATTCCTTACGTGGCCAGCAATGCCTTGAATCCACATGAAGGGCTCTGCTTATTTCAAACTCCAGTGTTTTAAAATGTGTACTTGGTCTATCAGAAGCTGGTTATTCAAGTTTCTGGCGAGGAATCTATTTCACAGGGGATGTGTTAGGTAGAGCGTGCTTGTTGGTAGCTATATTAACTGATACAGTTTTCTCCTTTCAGTGTGTCTGTAGCTGGGAGGAGCGGGATATGATGTTCAATGAAGTTGAAGGGATTATTCGGAGGCAGATCAATGTAAGAGGGGTGCAGGAATTGATTTCTTCTACTTTCATTGATTAGTGATTACTGCTATACAATTGCTAACTGAAGTGTGCTTTTACATTTGTTACTTTCCAGTCCTCTGTTCTCCCTAGTGTACAACCGTTCCATGCTATAGCATATCCTTTGGATCCAATGCTTGCTCTAGAAATAAGGTATTGTGAACAATCTTAATTAATTTATTTCTGCCTTATGAATCAAACTTTCCATTGATGTTCTCTTGTTCTTGTCAAACAGCCGTAAATATGCTGCTCATTGCTCTATGGTTGCTACTCGGTTTGCACTTCCTCCTTTCAACCATCCTTCTCCAATTCCTATTAAGTGTGATCATGGAAGCGAGAGGCTTAGAATTGGATATGTGAGCAGTGACTTTGGCAATCATCCTTTGTCACATCTCATGGGATCTGTGTTTGGCATGCACAACAGGACTAATATTGAGGTTTGTCATTTCTCTTTTTTTTTTTTTTTGAAGAACTTCCATTCTATTCTATTCTACATGTCACCACACCCTGAACTTTTAATTTACTCAAGCCTCTTCCTAGTTGTCGATGCTTGATGGAACTTAAATATTTTGTAGGTTTTCTGCTACGCGTTGAGTGCAAATGACGGTACTGAGTGGCGGCAGCGTATCCAGTCTGAAGCTGAACACTTCATAGATGTTTCTTCCATGTCGTCAGATATGATTGCCAAATTGATTAATGAAGACAAGATACAGATCCTGATCAACCTTAATGGTTACACCAAGGTATGCTTTATTAGACAGATAGTGAACAAATACCATAACTGAGGAATTCATATGCAATTACCTTTGGGTTTTATATTTATATTGCAAATCAGTTAGCTGTGCTCATATGCAGCGCATAGTATCACCCACGGCCGGGTGATCCTGAATTTCTGGAATTTGGAAACTTGTTGAATTATATTGTTTATATTTGTTCCACGGCTGCAATGTATGCAGGGTGCAAGAAATGAGATTTTTGCTATGCGTCCGGCACCAATTCAGGTCTCGTATATGGGTTTTCCCGGAACCACAGGAGCAACATACATAGACTATTTGGTGACTGACGAGGTTCGAAATGGGTGCACTACACTCCATTCTTTCTGTGTGTAATATCTTGTGGGATTCCCTAACCTATGTCCTCGACTCTTTCAGTTCGTTTCACCTGTCAAATATGCCCACATCTACTCCGAGAAACTTGTTCATCTACCTCATTGTTATTTCGTAAATGATTATAAACAGGTTAGTGATATTCTCATGGAAGAAAAGATTTAATGATATATGAATTGCTTAATATTTAGTGAGATTACTAAATCGTGTTATGTTTAGTCCCTAGAAAAGATTTAATTATATTATTAATGTTCGGCTAACTGATTGTTTTGCTTCAGAAAAATTTGGATGTGTTGGATCCAAACTGTCAGCACAAACGATCAGATTATGGGCTTCCAGAAGATAAATTCATATTTGCGTGCTTTAACCAGTTGTACAAAATGGATCCTGAAATATTTAACACCTGGTACAGTTTGCGTCTTTAAAACTCAGTTTTGTTCAGATTCAACATCATTCTTTCCCGCTCTTCAAAATCAAGTTTATTCATCTTCTAATTTTTTTAGGTGCAACATTCTTAAACGGGTACCGAACAGTGCCCTTTGGCTATTGAGGTTCCCTGCAGCTGGGGAAATGAGACTTCGTGCATGTAAGTAAGAATTATTTGTTTGTTTTCCTGTTGGCTGACAAGGTCTTCTGACATCTGTGTATTCGGGCCATCTTCCTAACCTTGGCCATGTTCAGATGCTGCTGCTCAAGGAGTACAGCCGGACCAAATCATTTTCACCGATGTTGCCATGAAACAAGAGCATATCAGGCGTAGTGCTCTGGCAGATCTCTTCCTGGACACGTAAAATTCGTCAATCTGCTTAGTTATCCAATTGCAGCAGCTTGATTTTCTTATTGTATAATGATTAGTTTCTGATGCTGTTGAGTTTTTACCTTGTTTAGGCCATTATGCAATGCTCACACCACAGGGACCGATATTTTGTGGGCGGGTTTACCAATGGTGACACTTCCACTTGAGAAAATGGCCACTAGAGTTGCAGGATCACTTTGCCTTGCCACTGGAATTGGTGATGAGATGATTGTCAGCAGGTATTTAATTGCCATTTCCTGATAGCCAATTATCTCTTTTTTTATGCAAAGGAATTCATATTGAAGTTTGTGCTGTGATTTGCCTGGTTTGTATCGGCAGTATGAAAGAGTACGAAGAGAGGGCAGTATCCTTGGCTTTGAGTCAGCCAAAATTGCAGGCCCTAACCAATAAACTGAAGTCGATTCGGCTGACTTGTCCGCTGTTCGACACCACACGTTGGGTAAGTTTGAGAACTTAGAGATCTTGTTTCCGAACAACGTATTGGGCGTGAAACATGCACAACAATGTGAGTGACTGGGTTTGCTTTGCATTTTTTACAGGTGAAGAATCTTGATAGGGCATACTTCAAGATGTGGAGTATTTACTGCGCAGGGCAGGAACCACATCACTTTAAGGTGGCGGAGAATGATTCGGAATTCCCTTATGATAGGTCATCTTGATGAATAGTGGGAGATAATTCGGCGATGTAGATAATACCAGAAGAGTAAATTAGGAAAGGGCAAGGAAAACGATATGACCATTAACAAGAATGCATATATTATATGATGCAAAATGTGATGTGGACATCGATGTGTACCATACATGATTATGAACCCGATAGAGGTGGCAAATGATCGGATTGATGAATTCATAGATTGGTTTCGTGGATTGAACTCAGAGATTATGTGAAGTCATTATTCAACAATCTAAGGTAGACCTGTGGGATCACCATGTATTCACAGCTTAGTGCAGCGGGACTAGCTGAGCTATGTGCATCGGAGGCCAAGGCGTAGGTGTTTATTAGAGTTCTAGAGGTAGGACCTACGAACCACACCTCATGTGGCTGCATCTTCTATCTGTTGGGAGCATGGTAAAGGAAACCGTACCGGACATCATACCGGATTCCTTTCTGGTATGGTATTTTGTGGTACGACCGTGGTTCAACCGTTTTGTACCGGTAAATACCGTTTTTCACTATTGGCAGCTGAATCTTTGATTTGAGGGAAGGATTCTGATTTCTCCTTCTTAGATCTTGCAATCGCGCCTACAAGGACAAATCATTCCTCTGCATCTATCGCCTACATCGATACTCAATATGCTCTGCATCTCTTCTTTCTTCCAACTTCTCTTCTTCTTTGTATTTTCTTACATGGATTTGCTTGATTTGGCAGAATAGAAGATGCGAATGTCATCTAACAATGAGTTCTTCTTACATGGATTTACCTGCTGTCGCCATGTTCTTCTTGAGCAGGGGAGGGGCGCGCGTGCCGGTGCCGGAGACGATCGTCGGTCGTCGAGCAGAGGAGGGAGGATCGCCGGTCGTCGAGCATAGGAGGGAGGGTCGCCGCTCGTCGAGCAGAGGAGGGAGGGCTGCCGGTCGTCGAGCGGAGGATGGAGGGTCGAGCAGAAGAGAATTCGCGTGGGCAGCGGCAGCAAAAGAAGCGGCCCGATGATTTAGGGTTTTCCTTTTAGGCTTCGGCCGTTTTTTTTTTTTTTTCCTAATGCAAAACGGCGCCGTGTCCTCCTTATCAGTTCACCCCCGGTTAGACCAAAACCGGGCGGTTTTTTGAGTTGAACCGGTTTTACCGGTAAAACCGACCGAAACGTTTCTTTCGCTACAAACCGTGTATCGTATCGACCAGGCGCCGATTTCCAGTTTTACCGGTTCAACCGGCCGGTACGATCCGGTTTCCTTTACCATGGTTGGGAGGCAACCATTTTTGAGATAGCTGCAATTTCGCTTAGAAGCTTGGCAACTCGACAACTAACCCTACTCTTTGATGGCTTGTTGGTTTCGATTGGGGCGAGTCTATAGTAAGGCTGAGGCAATGGTGGGCAACAATCGTCCTAGATAACACCAAATGTAGACAAGTTTACATTTTGCAAGTCGTCCCCTTCATCTTTTTATCACCAACTACAATACAAGAGAAAACAAGTAAGAATTATTATCAATTATTAGTATTAGAATTCATATCATATATAATTGATTTACAAACAAACCTTCCTCTTCTAATGCTCGATCCAGCTCATCAATATCCAATTCATTTTCCCTAGAAGATGAACCTTCTTTCCCTTCTGACAACCAGTGACTAGTAACAGTAGAATCAATGCTTTCAAGGCTTATGGGATCATATGATTCTTTTTTGTTTTTGGTATAATACTCCCTAATCAAAGTAGAAAACATAAAATAATTCAATTCATTAGTAAGCATAGAAAGTATGAATTCAACATACAAGTTCTATAATTCAAATCATTACCTATTCTCCAATCGCAAGTTGTAATTCACAAACACCAAGTTACTAAGCACTTTATGCTGCAATCTGTTTCTTCTTTTGGTATGCAGATGTTCAAAGACAATCCAATTACGTTCACAACCAGAAGAAGCTGCAGTTTGGCTAAGAATTCGAATAACCAACTTCTGAATATTTGGAGCATCAATGCCAAACCATTTCCACCACTTATCTACATATAAAACATAGATGTTAGTTTCTTAAATATTGTAATAAATAGAAGAACTTCAATGCAAGTGATATCAATTACCTGGTTGTTTTTCTGTGCAGAATCTATTGCCATCTTCCTCCCAAAGTTTCCTTTCTTTTCAGCATACAAATTCATCTCCGCCACCACCACACTATTATCAGGACATAAAGACGAGTTCTCAAGAAGATTAAGAAGTCCAAATGTAACCTCCCTATCCTCTGTCCAATCTTCAGCATACTTAATAGTCGGATTAAGATAGTGAGCTGCCATAAACAAATCACGGCTCAAGTGCTTATCCCATCTCCGATTAACGATATCCGTGTATGGTTTGTACATCTCCTCCTTATCTCCACATACAGTCTTAATAGCATTTGATACCCTAGTCATCCCATCATACACATACCCCATTGCTGGTTTACTATATGAATCCACAACTCGAAGCAACTTAACAATTGGAGCTGTCAACTTAACAATGAAGTCACAATCAGCCCAAAACTTTTGATTGAGTACAATTGCCTTCACATCCTTTCCATCCTTAGTACTTGAAAGATCACTTTCTCTAAAGAACTCACTAATCACCAGTTCATCCAAATCATGCATGTGCTCAAAAGTACTTTGCAAACTTAGAAATGTAGTAGCAAATCTAGTAGCACCAGGTCTCACTATTTCTTTCCAATTCTCCTGTCTTCAACCAGAAATAAATTGGACCATGATTGTAAAAAAATTTGGAGACCTTGGTAGCTCGATATGCAAGCTTCTTAACATGAGGAATAGATCCAATGTCACTCAAGATCAAGTTAAGGGTATGAGCAACACAAGGAGTCCAATATATATGACCATAATGCTCATGTATCATTGTCCCTACCAATTTATAGTTGGATGCATTATCGGTCACCACATGAACAACATTCTCCGCTCCAACCCAATCAATGACCTCACAAAATAACTTAAACAAGTTCCTTCCACTCTTGACCAAACCAGAAGCATCAATGGACTTCACAAAGCATGTTCCAACATGAGAATACACAAGAAAATTGATTAAGGATCTACGCCTATTATCCGTCCAACCATCCGCCATATTAGTGCATCCAGATTCCTTTCAATGAGACCTCAAACTCTCAATCAATAGGTGACATTCTTTCACAATGCTATCCAACAAAGTAAACCTCAAAGCATAATATGTAGGACCGCCATAACCAGGACCAAGAGTCATAGAAGCATCCAATGCTATTTTAAATTGTGGAGATTTAATTGCTTCTAAAGGAACACATGCATCATAGAACCATCTAGCCCATGCTCGATCCACATACAATACAACTTCTTTAGTTGCTAAGGCACTCTTTATTCCCGGTTGACTACCGGAAGATGACCGTGGAGCAAAGAAAGTGTCAACCGAATCCGTAGACACATTAGGAGCAACTCTTTTAGCACTATTATCATCTTGTGCACTAGAAGAATTTGTATCACGAGGTTCTTTAAATCCAGCTTTGACACTTCAGATTTCTTCTTACTAGTTTCATAATTAGTCAATAGCTTCTGCATGTTTTGGCTCACCTCTTCCAGAACCATTGAGCATATTGCATTATCCCTACTAACACCAGCTAGATGTTTTTTCATTCTAGTGATTCCTCCGCCTCTAAATTCTTTTTGACAATAGAGACAAGTGAGTACTTCCACTTTTCCATCCAGATGCAAGGAACAATGAGCCCAAGTTGGATCACTTTTGCTTCGTACACCCTTTGCTGTAACCTTCGAATTACTAGGAGTTGCTCCTTTATCAACCGATAGGGCTTCTTCTCCACTAGCCATTACTGCCAAAACAATGAAACATCCAAACGTTATTCATTGCAGAGTCACCAAACATTATTCATTGCCAAACACTTTTCAATGCACAATAGATTTACAAAATTTCATTCCACTCTCCTTACCTAATTGAAAACCAAATTAATGAATTATAATATAAGGTGGATGGGAAGGGAAACTGATTCCCCTGTGACCGTGTCACTCCAACCGACGGCAGGGGCAGGCTCGAGACGGCGTAGAGGCAGGCTCGGCGCTGCAGAGAGGGAGGCTCGGCGTGGCAGAGAGAGAGGCTTGGCGCGGCGGCAGGCTCGTCCTCTGCCTTTCTCGCCGGTCACCAGCGGCAGGGGAGGTCGAGCACAGGAGGGAGAAGACGAAGGGCAGGCGGGTTCTGGAGCTCGCCGGTCGCCGGACTGCTGGAGAAGACGAAGGGCAGGCGACCGACGTGTTCTCCTATTCACGAGATGTCAAGCACGAGCAGGCGGTTGCCGAGACGCCGACTCCCTGGACTGCTGGAGAAGTGCGATCAAGCCATCAAGGAGGGGGAGGGGTAGGCTGCGCTAGAGTCTGGAGATCGATCGGCGGCCGACCTCTCCGTCACGAGCAGACAGACTGGCAGGGCGGGCAGGCGGCGATCTGGTCTGGAGAAAGGAGGAGCGGCAGAGTGAAAATTGGAGATCGAAGGCCGAAGAGAAGAATCGATTAGGGTTAGCACATTTAGTCCATTAATCGTTTTTTTTTTTCAATTTTGTCGCCTGAAACGGCGACGTTTACTATAATTTCATTACTGCCGGTCTGATTTAAACCGGACGGTATATCGGTTTATGTCGGTTAAGCCGATTATACTGGCCGGCGTGGTAGAAAGGAGGTTGGTAGGGTGTCGTTTCGTCACTGTCCTGATTCCTGGTTTTATCGGTTGAACCGGCCAGTACGATCCGATTTCCTTTACCATGATACAAAGTCGCCTCTGATTGCATCACGGTTGGATATTTGCTAGCTTACGTCGGTGAGATATAGTGAGAGGAGCCAGTTGTTGGAAACCCGCCTTTTGGGGTTAAACTTATTATTCAATAATTATAATTATATTCATAAAAAATAATAATTATAATTATGGTTAGTAGAGGTTCAGTCGAATTACGATTATCATTAGGTTTTTCTCATATTTTCATATATATATAATGGACGGTTATGATTCGTCCAAATATAGGCAAAAAAATCAATGCACCATCTTAGAGTTTATAGTTTGTGATTTAGATAATTAGAACCTAGGTCACTCATTAAGGGTTAGGGTATAGTATCATGCACAAAAATCCTGCTAACTCAAGGTCTAGATAGCGTTTTCATACTCAAGGTATGCGGTACCCCGGATTTCACCTAGGGTACCGTAGAAGGCACCATATATATATATATATATATATATGGTGACTACTTCGGTGCACTCACAAAAATGAGTGCGTTCAATATTACCCAACTCAAAAACTAGTCTTAAGGTGTCGGATTTTGAATTTTAATTTGTAAAACTAGTGTAATATGATGATATAACATATGGTAACAACTAATTAGCGGATTACCCTAAGCCCTAGACCTCCAATTTTGAAAACTATCCCTAAATCCCAAATTGTAAACCCTAACCCTAAATCTCAAAACTCTAAATCCTTCAAATTAAAGTAAATCTTCAATGGTTTTTGTGCAAATTCATGTGCGTAATTGTTCATCACATCATAAGTGATGATTGACATCATTTTGACATAAATCGCATGTTTAAAATGACGGTTACGAAGCGAGTGCACTGAATGCACCCAAAGGATACCTCCCAAACCTAATCTCTCTCAACTTCTAATTTCTCTTCTCCAATCCAAGGCCTGGACCGATTCTTGATTCGATTCTATTCTTTCCAAAATTCTCAATCTCAATCGCTATTTCTATCTTCTAATCCCTAAATTCCTATTTGTTACAAGTAATTGCGGGTGTCGTAGATCAGAAACAAGATTCCAGAAACAAGATTCCAGAAGAGGGTTCTTTCACCAGCCTCAAGTCTCAACAGCTCTCAGGTGGTCGCTATATTCTTACCATCAGCCAATTTATTCACTAGGAACATTTCGATCACAAACCCTGGTGACTACGTGCTTTGCGCTTAGATATTAAGCACTTCTCAAGACCTGGGATGGATTTGGATGGGAATGGGATTATACTCTCCCATCATGCATGGGTTGGAAAATGATGATAGCACAGGGCCTGGTGCAAGAAGTAAGTGCTAAATTGGTTTCACTATAATGCTTGATTAGACGAAGAGAATATTTGCTAGCCAGTTTCCTAGAACTCGTAGCTATTTAAGGTGCTACAAGATGGCTGAATGTTTAATACATCGTGCCATCGTGTTGATAGCTTATCTGTTGCATGGTTGCCAATCTTCGTAACTAGGGCAAACATACTAGTTGATTCACTACCCACTGAGAACAGGTTGCTGCTTGGTTTGAGTGTTTTCTTATGCTACATTACATGAGTAAAGAGTATCAATGTCCGAAGTATTTTCAATTAGAATGTGGAATTGGAATGTGGAATGAGTACTGATCCTAACATTGAAATTTTAGATTGTGATACTAACCTTTCGTCTTCTTAAGCTGACATTTCTGATAGGAATGGCAATGGGTAGGTCCGGGGTAGGTATCTCGATATCCATACTTGCCTCGTGGCAGGTTGGGTCCATGTCGGGTAATTTATCATGGGGCACGGGTCGGGATAAGTCTACCCATTTGGTATGTAATTTGTATAAAAAACATTAGAAATATTCGTTATTTTGATTAAAAGACTAAAAAAGAAACCATATATGATAAAATATAGTTAAATTATTGGAGAAATTGAGGTTTTCACTCCGTGTCACGTGAGAATATTCCTTCCAACTCAGTGCCACATCTGATAGCTCACCATCATCACTCAGTGTTACGGAGAGTTGACGTTTGGCTAATTAATAGCATTTTGATAGGTTTGGCTAATAAAAAGGAATAAAAAAAATTTGGCTAATAAATAGTCATTACCCTTTAATTTATGCGACAATATTGTCACTTGATCTCTTTTGTTAGTTGGATTTGGGCCCAAACCCACTACTGGTGGGTTTTAGTCGGTTCGTATTTTCTGAAACAGAGAAGTTGTGTTCGAACCTTGAACAACGATTAATTGCACAATTCATATGCGGAACTCAATGTCTATATTGCATATGCGGGTAAAAGAGTAATTGAACAAACATGGAGTAAGATTGTGCTTGAATGTTCTTAACATTTTTTTTATATATATATTTTATAACATGTAGAAATCTAATATCACCAAAAAAGAAAGAAGCTACTCTAAATATAATCGTCTCTAACTATATTCTAGTTTAACGGTAAAGAAATCAAAACTGTTCTTTCTAGTAGCATAGCAAAAGGTAGAAAAGACATCATGACATCATTTTGAGACGTAACTCAATGCTGACTAGGCGTCACTGAGACCACAACGCGATCAATGTGTCTTCTCCACTGCTGTTTGCCAAAGCAAGATGTTTTCCTTCTGACTTGCGACTAGACGAACATAGATGAGTGTCTAGGTGTGTTTTTTAGAACTATACTAAATTTTTTCCCCAACCGTTCGAAGGGCAAAATATTAGAATTGTTTACAATCTAGAGGCTTTGGAACGATAATTCTCCAAACATTACTATATTTATATATAGTATCCTATAGTTCATCGTCTTTTGGATCCATAACACTAGATTAAATAAATAAGAAAATCCAACCGATACATGGCCAACAGAAAGACTGGTACACAACCCACAAACAGGACTGAAATCAAGATCAGATTGGGGGGTGAGAAAGAATTAACTTAAAAAAAAAGCCAATCTAATGTCGGCTCTCCCTCTCTTTAATCTCTCAATTCCATTTTTCTGCATCGTTCACTACATACACAAACAGAAAGACGAAAAAGTCCCTACACAGAGTACTCCTCCATTCACGGCCAGTTCTCTTGCTGTTCCTCCATGCTGCTGCTGCTGCTGCCGAACTCGTTCTGGCTGTTCTCATAGTTCACCGGGTAGTTGCTCATCATCTCCTTGCTGTCCTCATTGCTCAAATCGTAATAGTACTTCCCACCTTCCACAAACCTGGTGTCGCTCATCCCCTGCCTCTGCCTCTCTGCTTCCTCATACCCATTACTGTTGTAATTTTTCTTCTGATTGTCATTATACTTCCCCGCGCTGCTGCTGCCGTAGTAGCCATTGCCATCGTTGTTCGCCACGAAGCGATCCCCTTCGTTGTTGTTGCTGCTGCTGCTGCTCTGGATTCCCGTCACATACTGCGCATTACCCAATTTGTACTCGTTGCCGTTGGAATTGGACTCATCAGCAGAGAAGTTGTCGATTTCGTCATCGCTGCCAGTGAAGTAAGCATCGGTGTTGTAGTTGGCAGCGAAGCTATTGCCGTTGTTGTTGTTATCGTTGTTCTGGCTCCGTCCCGTCACGTACTGGGCTCCACCGAGTTTGTACTGCTTGCTATCGTCGTTGTAGTTGTAGTTGTTGTTGTTGTTGCTGCTGCTGCTATAGCCATTGGGATTGTACTGCTTGTTGTTGTTGTTGTTATAGCTGTTAGTGGAAGCAGAGAAGGCAGTACTTTCGTCATAGTTGTTGTTGTTGTTGTTGTCGTCGGTAGAGCTACTGGTGGCGGCGCCATTGAGTGCTGCTTCGAGCTCATCGTCGTCCTTGTAAGTGGGGTCCATGGCCTTGGTTGTTGTCTTTGTGGTGGTGGTGGTGACGGTGGTTTGTTTATTGGTGGGAACAACCATGCCAGATCCAGCGCCCCAGAGGCCATAGCCGTCGTTCTTGCTCTCTGCCGTGGCAGGGGCAGAGGCAGGGGCGGAGGCAGGGGAGAGGGCAGGGGAAGAGGCGGGTTGTTGCGAGATTTGGGAAACTGGGTTTGGTTTAGGGACGTTGGGAGTGGTTTTGGTTGCGGCGTGGACGTACTTGCTGAAGAAAAGCTTTGCCTCTCTGGCTTGAGCTGGGACAACAATGGAAGATGATGAAAGTATCCCGACGAGGAACAGGACAAAGAAGAGGTTGCAAGAGGAAGGCGCCATTGTTAGGGACAGAGTGGGGGAAAAAAAAGGGAATGGAGACAGAGGTGGAGGAGATCAGCTAAGCTTATTCTGATTTTGGTTTAGGGAAGAATGGTAGGGAGGTGTTTCTTATAGA